ATACTTGGATCATGATTATTATTTCTAAAATTACCAACAGTATTCATGTCATTAATAACAGATGAACCGGGGAAATTTTTCTTTGTAGGTTTTTTCCTGCATCTGTTTCTAGGATTTCGGAGATGTCTGAATTTGAAGCAACGCCAAGTTTTGCAAACTGCAAAATACCTTTTTTGACATATGCAACAACACTACTGACGTGGCTTCCCTCAAAAAAGGAAATCTACTACTACTCTCTGAAACATCTGGAGACAAATGACTGCAGTAGATCAGCTCAAATTTCATTAATTATTTTACACACTGGAAGTCTACAACAGGTGATTAGCTCAAGGATATTTTAACAAAATAAATGCTATACAGCTACTACAGCTACATGCAACACATTCTGTAGTCATATTTAAAAAACAACAACATTTCATTGCTTCTCCAGCGTATGAAGGGCTCCAAATACTGGTACCTTCAACATGTGATATACCACATTGGACCAAACATCTGTCAGACCCCCTTTTAAGTGTAAGATAAAAGTCTTCTAAATCAGTGGGTCTCAACCGCCGGTCCGCGGCAACCTTGCTGCCGGTCCGCCAAATATTTTTCAACATTAATATATTATAAGCAAATTGCAAAATACAGAGTATTGACGGCATGTCCGTCAGTTTTGTATTTTTTTTTCTAATTCTTATTGATTCGTAGTACCGTTATTCGTCTAACTTAGTATATATTTGGACCAGAGGTGGGCAAGGTTTTCAGACCAGGGGCTAACAATTTTGCCCATCTAGGCTGGCGGACCATGGAAGTATGAAGTGAAATGTGAAAGTTTACATTTATGGACAATGGACAATATTTGCAGTGCTACAAAAGCAAAAGTGGAAAACGATAAGCCCCATGCCAGAACTAAATTTTATCGCAATCCCAACAAATTCCTTGAGCTATTTTTTGCTGAAACAGCCGGATTCGGCCCGCGGGATTCGGCCGCTGGCCGTAGTTTGCCCATGTCTGTGTTAGACTCTAACTCCCAAACTTGGTGAGATGTTCTTTGCCAATTTCAAGCCCTGAACGACTGGATGTTCGTTAAGTCTATGACCTCATAACGGCGACTAGCGTAATAACGGAGGAGTTTGATAGCACATACAATGTTTGCCCGAAAATAAGACTGGGTTATGTTTCAATATTTTTCCGAAAAAAAACACTAGGGCTTGTTTTCGGGTGATGGGTTATATTTTTATTTATCAAAAACAAAATTCAAAAGTAATGAATTACGATAATTTTAAATATATATATAAAGTATGAAAGCCGATATCCATTTACTTATAAATACCACGTTTTTATTCAAAACAACTGCGAAATATGATTATCAATCATTCAAAACGTGTAGGAGAGATTTCTTGATATCGACTAGGTCAAAAAAAAGTTCGCGTTAATGACTAGGTCTTATTTTTAAGAGGAGGGCTTATATTAAAACATTTCTTAAAATTCAGGCTAGGTCTTATTTTCATAATATGTCTCAATTGCGGGGAAACACGTTTCATGTTTCAAAAGAAACCCAGCGGTGAAAACCAAGTTAGTGGTGTTTACAGGAAGAGACTGCTACTTCAACTTTACAACATACCCCGAAACGACCTTGCAAGTTGCAGCAAAATTGATATGGATCATGCGGAAACAAGCAAAAAACGAGAGGGATATTTTATTGAGCACTATAATAACTACTTGGAGCTAGGTTTCACTATTGCTCCCAGTAGCGAAAAAGTACCGCTTCCTACGTGCCTAGTCTGCGCCAAAATTCTTTCAAACGACGCAATGAAATCCGCAAAGCTAACGAAATTGCGTGGAAGTCACATTCTACTTTGCCTTGCACAAACTTCATTAGAACTACGTTCAACACGTATAATATCAAAAAGACAGCAGCAAATTTCTCATTGAATTAGATTGTCTTCTTTTGCACCGCCTACTTTTGTCGTAATTGCATTCTTTTGATTATGTTTTGTGTTCATGACAATTTTTTTTTGAAATTCTACCGGTCCGCGAACTGAAAAAGGTTGAGAACCACTGTTCTAAATTGTTTTACTATATCATACATATAAATTTTTCGTGGCTTGAAACACTTTTCAGAGTTAGACCATCGGGACTATTATAAACTAACATTTGCGATCAGACCTGCTAGGTGTTTTGGTCTAACTTGTCAATTAAAGATTTCAGACCCCCCCCCCCCCCCTTCAAAATCTTCAGCTATGCCCGTAGGGCCTCACCCTGAATATTGAATGAATCGCCAAAAGATTTTCAGTTTGAAAGATGCATATTTTGCGGGGCTGGGAATCCATCGGTGCTCCAGTTGATTGAAAAGCAGCAAAGAAAAAAAAATGTAGCAATGTCCACGTGATAGAAACTAAATTGCCTTTTTACCCCAGCTAAGAACCACTCCCAAAGCCTTAAAAAACATCAATACCACTATTAATATAACTCGATATTCAGTGTTTATTCACATTAGTAATTAAAATAATAATTTGTATTTCTATGGATTATTGAGAAAAAAAAACTTGGGTACTCCAGAAATACGTGTACCGAGATGACGGACAACGGAACAATGTATGTGTACCAGGTTAGGCCATACTTTTAGGTACAAAAACTACAAAACTCACTTGGTTAGTCCCTGAACTCGTAATAGAACTAAAATATGGAAAAAAGTATAACATTTTGGCCTAACTCTAACGTGGTACACATACTACGTTCCGGTGTCCTCATTTCTTGGTACGCATACTTCAGGAGTACGGAAACTTGACTGTAATCACATACATCTTAATCTTCGTTCTAGCTGCTGTGTTTCTTCAATTGTTTTCGTATTCCATGAGCCCTATTTTTGTTATTATTTTGGCTGCATTACTTTGCGTATACAATTGCTCAAATTTTTTGAATACTTTCTCAAGTAGTGTTGTTACATCTTGTCTTTCAGTTACATTGTTTAATAGGTATTCGCTCATGAATGATTTGAAAATATTTTTCTTTTATATCAAGTGTCGGATGTTCAATGATATGTGATGATGAAAATAAATTTCAGCTGCTTGCATGTGTTGAGATAGCCTTTGTATAATTATTGACTCTTAAAAAAGTTATTTATAGATTGGTTTGATTAATTTCTTGAGCAGAGCCTTGTGTTTCTGGGTTGCATTATTAACAGAAATTGCTGATCTACCTTTGCATTCCAGATTGTTGTCACATTCACAAAAGATGCAGTGCGCAAATCACTGGTCCTTCGTTTCGTTTGACGCCGTTGAATTCTTTCTAATCATCACGGCAAATTTTTTACGTTTACTCATTTTATCTGTTATGAAGTTCCAGATCTAAACGAATTTCAAAGTTTAATTTACTGGTATATTCATTTATAGGGTTGAAATAAGGACACACGTCAAAATACAGATGTTTCTTAAAAATAAGGACAAAAATATTTCCTAAAACAAAGACCTTCAAAATAAGGACAAATTCTAAAAATAAGGACGTTGTGGCAGCCCTGATTATAGGTCAAGTGGAGAAAAAACTTCTGTGAAAGCTACAATACTTGAGATGGAGTGAGACCAAAATGCTGTGCTACCAAGCGTTTTTTTTTATATAAAGTGCAAAGTATTCATTTTCGTCGCTACTTTACCTACATCTGACTGACATTCTTTGCAATGCATCGCATTTTTGATGCCTTGCTTTCTTTCGACAAGGAAGTTGTAACATCATCCTGGTAATTTGCAAGACAGACTTTGTCTTCATTTTCACAATTATTTGTTCATTTTTATCAAATTTCTTCGTCCTTCAGCAAATATTTCGATCAGTCATCAATGAACAGGGCTAGTTTTTTTTATGCAGGAGCGTCGTCGTCGTTAAGCGTCTTGTCTGAACAAAACCAACCGTGACGCCCGCCACTTGGAGGTGCAACATCGCCTTTGTTTGTTTATTATGGGGCGAGCGGAGTTGGACATCTAGTAGTAGTATATATTTACGGTTTTACATAAGGACTTGAATTCACTGATGACTATGGTGAAATCTACATGGCGAATACAACAGCGGAACACTATGGATTGTTTGGAAATATTGGGTGAAACATTGGATAACTGAAATTGCCGTTGATGCATATTCTTGTTGGACACGTCAGTGTACATAACGATCGTTTCAATATTATGTTGTTGTTCTTTTTTTTCTTCTCTTTCGTCGTGATAAAATCGCTTTTCTCTTCGAATACTGGACCTATTGTTCTGAAATTTTGAGTAATTAAAGATTGATTTTTTTCGCCAGAAGGCTATTATTTTAACTTATTTCAAAAATTTCTGTGGACTTCAAGAGATTCGTTTTTTATGCGTCAGAATAAAGAAATAGCGACACCTTTTGACGGGTCCATATATTTAAGCATAGCTCTCTTGTTTTTGTATGTTATTATGTGTGATGTTTATTTATCATTATTGTCTTTATTTTTTTTAATAAACGATTGAATCCTTAATCAGAAAAATAAAAAAAATGAATGAATAACCAATCTTGGGTCTCCTGGTCTGATGAACCACAGTACAACAACTAAACTGTGATAATAGCGTGCAAAGAAAATGTGAGGGGCATGGAGGACGCTTGATTATATTTCAGTTATGTGACCACGTCCAAATTGATTGAACCATGAGCGAGGCGCTAGCCTACTTACTGAAGGTGAATCAGTTTGTTTCCCGCTGATTCCCATTGGTAGCAGACGTATCGCATGTAAAACCAATACTATTTAGTCCAAATTCGAATTATTTGGACAGCGAATATGCGCATGAAATTTCGATAACAATATGTTCAATAAAGCCAGCCGGGACAGCTTTGAAAGTAGGAATGTTTAGGCCTATGTAGTAAAATCGAAAAATGTAAAGTTACAAAATCACAGCTAGGGGGTCATTGTTTTTTGAGGCGTTCCGATTTGAGGTCACAAAAATATGGTAACCCTGTGCATGGTAAGGCGCTTAAATCTTTTCTCGGTTACGCCGAAATGTTCATTTAATACTTAAAATTGACTGTCGATACTTTTACTGTCAATTAGTTTAATATTTTGAATTGAAATGGTGATTTTGAACTTGAATGAATTCTGAGGTTGAAAGTCAGAAAAAAATTCACGGGCCATCTAACCGCTACATTTAGCATCAAAACTAACTAAGTGCCAAGTTTTTTCTGTCCAATACGGGTGCCAGAACGAAGTGGGCTTCTCGTACATTTCCTCGTCTTCGGTGATCAGATACCTCTCATATTCAAGGGCTGTTTGGGTACACTGTGACAGTATAATGGCGGATGACGTTAGAAGAGGCGGAGAAGATGAAGACCGTGGCCCAGGTACGGTACGGTACCGGTATGATTTATGTGTTGTTTTCACTTGTCGTAGGTATGTTAAAAAAAATTTAAAGTCAATCGGATTTACCGTATTTCTCGGCGAATGAGTCTACCCGGTCAATAAGACGAGGCCCGTTTTTAAGACTGAAAAAATGGGTTTTTACATATAACCTGCCAATATGTCGGGGTTGTAAAATCGCATCAACATCGGAATCTCAAATTACAATGCAATGCCCTTTGAGCGGTCACCGCGTTTGCGCATTGGTTAAAATAGCCTATAATGACGTTTTCTTGTAGCGTAATATTCAATCCATAATAACTACGGGAATTTAAACTCTTTAAATTTTCATCTAATTGTGTTCAACTCACGATTTTTTCCACCATAAAAGAACATTCCCTAATACATAATAAGGTGAAACCAAACAAATTAAAATTATCATACTCGCCTAATAAGACGACCCCCCCCCCAAATCTGGCCAAAAATTTGGGTCTAGAAAAGCAACTTATTTGCCGGGAAAATCGGTAAATAGACTAATAACTGTGTCAGTGGATGGATCTAAGTCAAAATAAGAAAACAATACCAAGTTTGCGAAAAACGGTCAAGAATTAACGGAGATATCGGCATTTTAGTACCGCCCAATAGGCCAATTTTTCTCCATGAGGTTAGCATTACGCTGGCTCAAAAACTGTGACCGCAAGAATGTGAGACCGATAAATAACAATTTCTATCTTCGCTATTTTGGAAGGTAATCAAATGAAATTTGGAACGAAAAGATAACGTGAAAATAGAAACCAAATAAAACAACTTTACAAATTCTTTTCAATGAAATAACAGTCTTTTTCAATTAATTATGTACAAGAAAATGTCTTAATTTCCCGAAGTCAATAAACTGATTTAAAGCTTCCCATATCTGACTGTATTCACTGAACAATTCAATATCTACCTGCACGTAAGATATTTACTGTGTTTACGAAAACTCAGAACGAGAAAATTCAGCGCGGGAGATGATGTCGACAATTCGGTCGATAACTATCTGCGAGTTGACAGACTCACGCTAAGATAGTATTAAACGTGTCTTGAAATATTTCGTAGCATTTTCAAAAAACGCTTGCAAATTCTGTTTTTTTTAGAGAATTTTATTTATTGTGGAAAACATTCTATATAAATCTCTAATCTCTCGATATGCGTCACATCTATGAAATATCAAGGCTCTTTCATAATTTAATTCTGGAAACGGTCAATGAGGCCATCGGCGGATTGTCGCAAATTCAATGTCGGAGGTGGGTATGTTAAATGAACAGTGGTTCGTTCCGGCTAATAATTAACGATGTTCGGATCGAGCAAACTTCAGAAAAATTGGCAAGTTTCAAGTTAAGAAAGAGACACGCGTGTCATTATAGATTTTATAGGTGTCATTAGACGGGATCATTAATTTGTAGCACGTTCAAGTTGGAAGGTATTTTTAAAAGATTCGCATGATAGGAAATATTTGTGCTAATGGAAAAATTCAAAAACAAGGTCATAGTCGTGTTTTTTATCTAATTTATGTCAAAATTTCATGGAAACACTAACTATCGCTGGTACTCAAGTATGGCGGTAACGGTACCTAGCAGAAGTGATGCGTACATTTTTTATTGCGAAAATGTGCGTTTTGTAACATTCCTACTTGTCGGTCTGTAGATGTGGGTAGTACGGTAACTTTACTTTATTAGTCATGTTGGGTATAAATTTTTGGTTAAGGGTCCATGTACAAAATCCTGAATTTGAATAATCTCGATTTTATCTAATTACATTCCAATTAACAGGTGCTTCATATCAAGTATTTGAAGTGATGTCAGATTTGCTGGATAAGCTGAAATTGTTAAATTTTGAGGAAAATTTCATGAGGCCAAACAACATGAAACCTCTAACAAGGTATTATCAGCTATGAAATGGGTGGGGACTTTCAGAAAATCTTTGGTCAATACTCAAAGGGTTTTTTGACGGTGAAAATAAAAGATTGTGATAATTGTAATCTCGTATTGCAATTTATAAAGTGGGTCAAAAATTTCAGTTTGTAATTTCGCTTCACACATACTTTTGTATAATATTTACAATGATGCTAACAGCAGTCACAAAAATGATTGTACATTTGCTGTTCGAACCATATTTCAGTTTTTGAATACAAGCCATCTGTCTCTTTTTATTTATGACATCTTTTGGTTTGCTCACAGACATTATTTTGCGGTCCCTACAAATCCTGGTGAACAGTTTCATGCATTCACTTCAATTTCTGCCTGGCTTCTTAACATCATTGGTCGTCCATTTGACATGCCACAAGAATTTGATGATCCCAATGCTACTATATCAAGTATATTGGAAGAAGTAAAACGAATGGTATGTATAACAATTTTTTTAAATCATAATTAAACATTTTCAATCGTGGAGAGACTAAATATTGTATTTGTGATTTTTTATTCTTTCTTGAAAATTTTCAGGGAGTCGCGATTGATTTTCCACCATCCAAGTTGAAGCAAGGATGTGGAGAATATGTTTGTTATATCCTTGATCGTTTGACTGAAGAAGCATTGAGGTCAAGTAATTTCCAGTGGGGAAGGTAAATATTGTCATCTAGATAATTTCCATTTATTCAGGTGTATCCTATCATAGGTAAACCATTCTCATTTTATACAGCCCATCTTACCCAGAGGAAGCTCAGGAAGAAGAAGTTATACAAGAAGAGGATGCTGCTGAATTGAAATTGGATAAACTAGAAGATGAAATGGCTACAATGGGTGGTGATGATGCATCAGATGAAGAAGAAGACACGCACTTTATGGACTTAAAAGTTGCCAACAAGAATGTATGACATTGAATTTGTATATGAATGGAATTCTGAATTTATAAGCAGATAATCCGATCATCAATTACTTCTTCATCAATGAATTCTTAAATCATGATAATATATGTATTTTGCTGCATATTTAATTTTATGGTATATTTTGCAGAGTCATTTTAAGTTTTTTTTGAATCATGATAATCATTTTAGGATAACAAACAAGTGGATATCTTACAATCTACCACAAATGCAGATGAGTGGAAACTGGAAGTGGAAAGGGTTACACCTTCTTTAAAAGGTGTTGTCAGAATTTTATAAACCTATGATTTGCCACCAAGAAGATATTGGTACTGAATGTCTGATTAGAGTTGGCAAACTGCAACATTTATATTGGAACCCAACATGCATTTTTTCAACTTAGTATATAACTCAATAAGCTGTTGGGTCAAACACATATTTTGAGACAATGATGATTTTTTCAATAAGATTTTCTATATTATTGCTTGAGTAAAAATGAGACTATGTCAACTAATTTTGAATGTATCCAAATGTTCGATTCATTAACAACTTTTTTTCACTATGAAGACTGATGCCAATATCCTTTAAAGTTAAATAATATAGTCAGAAAGTTTCAACAATTATTGTGTAATTTACATTTGTGTTTCTGCACACCCAGTAACAATCAGAACAGACAACAAGGATTGGAGAACTCACGTTGATCAAATGCATCATCATAAAGTTGGGATTGAATCATCTTTAATAGAGACAAAGGTGCAGTATATTATATAAAGTGATGGAAGATTTCTTCTAATTTGGGGATGTTAAGAATCATTTGAATTAATTCCCATTATTAAATATTCAAAACAACATCAAAAGTTGAGCATGTCCAATTTTAGAGTAGAACGAACCAGTTATTGAATTTGCGTAAAAAAGATCATGTACTTGGTTTATATAAAAAAGCATCTTCTCTATGCTTATTGCAGTTGAAGAAATGTGGTAATCACATGGATTCATTGACTAAGTAATCGCAATTTCAAATACTCTGTGTATGTTACATCACTGCATTATTTCTTTAAAATGGTATATTTGCTACAGGGCTGAAATAATTCTTAGTTTGTTCTTTGTAAATCATGTTGTGTTTGTGTCCGTGATATTAATATTAAATTCGTTTGTGACTATAAACTTTATAATTTTTGCAGTCTCATCTTGACAAGCTTCACGATGAAATTGGAAGAACACTCGAAAAAATTTCAAGCCGTGAAAAATATATTAACAATCAACTGGAACATTTAGTCCAACAATACAGGACCGCACAGGATCAACTTGCTCAGGTTAATATTCTATCTCAGGGCTACTCAACTATTAAAATTACGACGGTCCGGCCATTCCAAAATATATATTTCAACTATGCAAACACAATCTGAAATGCATAGTTTGACAAATTACAAGAGCAATGATTCGGTGCCGACATGACAAAGCTTCAGTTGTGTAACTCAGCGCCGACTTTGCTGAAAATATTTTAAATATTCGCTCCCATAGCACCCGTAATAATATGTATATTTAAAAGTCTCCCAGTGACTTGAATTATTTTTGAGACTAAAAATTAGGGATATATTAGTTGCGGAGAAGAACGATATTTCCAAATAATATTATGAAATACCACAACGTCTATAGGAATTTTAGCAAAACGATTCACTAGGCGACTTTGTGATTAATAGCAAAGTTATTTGTTAATCGTTAGGCTGAGAAATTACATTTTTTCGTTGTTGCCAGGCAATAATTCCAATCTTGGTTCTATCAAGTGAGAGTATACTATTTTGCAAAATCGGGTTATTTTTCTATTTTAAAATTTCAAAAATACAACTAAAAACTGACAAATAGCATGTGAAGACACAAAAACAATGTATATTCGGTGGAAAATCAGCTCTCACACTCGTACTATATCCGGAGTCGCGTCTGCGGTTTGATGTTTAAATCCACCATTAGGAGAGTTACAATGTCCCAGCAAACGGACAACAGCCGTGTAGAGCGACGCACGCTATGGGGTGAAATTGGTTTTGGTGGGTTGAAACTAAAATTTCACCAATCCAGTTTTTTCTTTTTTTAGTTTATCCTTTCCAACACGACAAACCATCGTCTGACATTCTTTAGCGTCAGTCCACTGTAAAATATTCATAACATTGGCGAGTGGATGTGCCTTCATAATCTCGCCGTGGAACAGTCTGAGAATATTCAGGTTCAGTGGGGCATGCCCTACTGGGCACAATTCGACAGTGTTTAATACAATAAATGCTTAGAGGCCTATACATGCGTTATATATTTTTTCTAATATTATCATTCGACCCATGGTACAATATGTAATATATTCGAGAATCAAAAAAATTGCCAGATTTGGAGTCGAAAAAGAAAATAATTTAATTTGTATACGGATTTTTTTTTAACAATATCTGAAATATTTTGGTTGAACATTGATTCTGTTCTTTAGATGAGAATGCTGATTAATTGTTTATTTTTAAATGCATACTTCGTTGAATTTTGACAAAATGCCCCATTGTGCCCCACGAGTGGAGTACAGTGGGACACTTGACAAATGTTTCTCAAAGCAATCTGGTGGTAAGATGTGTGTCGCAAGAAGATTTGAATAAAAATTACATTTACAAGCCCCCCCCCGAAATGTGAAATGATTGTGCAAAATAATTAAATGAAAAAACTATTGCACAGGGGTTCCTAGAGCCACTGGAATCTTTCATTGGGGTTCTTTACACCAAAAAGGTTAAAAACTACCAGACATAGCTAATATTGCATATGAGCATAATATCCTGTCACTTCATCTAATCTTGTCCTTTGAATGTTTTTTCATATTTTCCACATAACAAGTTTAAACCACAGTCGTCATCAGGTAATTGTGGGCAATGGGTCACACTGATTTGAAAAATAATGCAGTAAGCTGATCTCATTTTTTTAAACAGACGAAAGAGAAATACAGACAAGGGAGTGGAGGAGTGACTCAACATTCCAGAACATTAGCGGAAGTTACAGAGGAGTTGGAAAAAGTTAAACATGAGATGGAAGATAGAGGAAGCAGCATGACCGATGGAGGTATGACATTTGAAATCAATTTTCTATCTTGACATGGAAGCTCGAAATGAGTCCACAATACCGAACTTTAGGCCAGGGCTACTCAACCATTTTTCACCAAAGATCTGTGTACAAAACCCAAAATTATTGGGTTATGGTCTTTTCAGAAAATATATTTCACAATACGCCTAAATTTATTTCAGTGCTTACAGTATTTAGGTTATTAATAAAAAAGCGATCCACCAAGACGTTTATTAATTCGCCAAAGTTCTTTTCGAATAGAGTGATCCAAATATTTAAAACTAATAAAACAACCTCTAAAACTATAAATCAAAATAAGAGGAAACATTCACGAGCCTAATGTAACAAAATAAATTAAATGCAGTTTAAGATCAGGCCCGGTCAGTCAGTTGAAGGCTGTACAGAGTATAGTAGCCTAACATAAGTTTGAAACACTGTATTGCATTTAGCTCCACTTGTCCGTATCAAGCAATCACTCAATAGATTGAAAACGGAATCTACACAAATGGATATAAGAATCGGAGTAATTGAACATATTTTAATGCAGGTATGTCTCCATTCATATGTGTACAAACAACTTGGTTATCTATTTTTAGACCACCTAAACCAAAAACAACTCATAATTGTAATTCCAGGCTCGGATGAGAGACAAAACTATAATGCACAGCAACATGAATCAACCAGATGGTTCTGCAGAGTATAATTCATTCGGAAAAATGTATTAAATGCTGCTACAACATTGTATATTATTATTTATTTCATTGCATGATTTATTTTTCTAGAAATAAGTAATAAAAGTGTATTTAACAGTACTGTGTAAAAGTGCAATAATCGAAATAAGCTTCAATATGAGACAGGACAAGTTAATTACTCTTGGGTGTCAGGTAAAAAAAGTCCATAGAAAATCCTAGGGCCAAGGCACTTCTGTAATATTCAGTCTCGTTAACTATAAATAACATGTTGTTGCTGAGTGTAGTGAAAGTCTGTAACAAACAAATATTGTAGTACCGTATAACATATTGCAACAGAAATAGAAAACATACTATGCTACTTGCAACTATTGATACATTATTCAAATTTTGCATGAAAATGATTTTGGATCACAGCCTTTGATTTCTTGTAGGTATGGATAATCTAAGTTTCCTCTATTGTCATCAACTTCTGTGTGTCCCAATGAAGGTGGCCCGCTATCACGAATACATACACAGTACGCATTCTTTACTCCAACCGGTTTGAGCATCCTTGGTACCCCAACCCAGTCCCTTTCTATCCCCCCACTGAAAAACAAAATATTTTAGTAGTATGAAATTGTTGAGCTTTTACAGTTTTCAAGTCACATTTTTAAACATTAGTTTTGTAATCTATTTTGAAACTTTTATTACCTTTTCGTTGAACACCATACTCTAGAACCCGTCTCTTGCGTCCATTCTGAGTTACACCTTGGAAACAACTTTTCATGCTCCTCTTCTTTTGCCTTTAATTTCCTGGCTTCCATCATTTTATTCTGCGCTTCTCTCAATGCTGCAGTAGGTTGTCCATTCGCATCATAAAAATTCCCAATTAGCTTTCCTAAATTGCATAAAATAGAAAAAATGGTCACATATTGGTTATACAAAGAAAAATGAAAGCAAGAGAATGTAAGTAAATACTGGTAATCTTGGGATATGATACTTGGCATTGTTAGCCCTATGAGCATTTTATTAGATTTAAATCAAAGCTTATAGAGCGGTTACCATTAGCTAAAAGTAGCATGTCATTATTCCAATATATTTAAAATAGGATTATGCAACTTACCAACATACGTGTAATCTTCTTCATAAAATGTAACCCAATTTTCATATTCCCCGAAATGTTCAGCGCCTACCCCAGTAAGGTCATCAGTGAGCCCCTTATCAGTGAAATCACCTGTACTATATGCTTTAGTTCCATCTCGACCTAAAAACAAAAGAAGCAACATGTAGCAATAACTTGTTAATACAAATTGAATATCTACAACTGAGGTTGGATATACAGTGAATAAACTTGTCTAATATTCAAATTATCATCGCTTATATCATCAAAACAAAATGATGTTTTAGTCGACCTAATAACTGATCATGTGCAAGTTAGTTGCTGGACTCAGTGCCACTTCTGCACTTGGGATTGACGGTCAATTTCTACCTTCAAGTTTGACAATGAAATGATGTGATCAAAAGTTTTATTGTCTTTGTCTTATTTTGAACAGTATACCAGTATGTACCTTAGAAATTGAAACGAATCATTAATTACTAAATTGAGGATCATACCAGCAAAGAAGTCATATCCTCCGCCAGGTTCATAGAACTTAGCCCCTTTTGAAACATCATAAACTTTTCCTAATATAGCGAGATACAATCCCTTGCTATCCTTTCCACCGCGGTAGTGGTTCCATAGCTCTTCTTTTGTAAACAGCCGATCATTGGTCTTTTCCGAAATTGACGACTTTTCAGAAGCCGGCGCACTTTTTTTGGCAGCAGGTTTATTTTGTTTTTGTTGGAAAGAATCCATGAATCTTGAGCCCGATTCGAAAACATAGGCCTTGGCGGCTTCAATTTCTGTTCCATAATCTCGAACAAAATACCCGATCGCAACACCTAAAACAAGCACGAAAATTCCAGACTTGAAACCCATTCTGCAAAGAGGTAGCCTAGACGTTACCGCAGTTGACTACTGAGACACCACATCACAAATTCAAGCTTCGTTGGCACGTCATGAACTTTGCATGCTCGAATAAACTTCGCTTATTCAAGCTAACATTTCTCTATAATTGATTTGTTGAGATCATGTAATACTTGCGAGAACAGGATTAACGCCAATAATATTGTGGTTTAGGCCTAGCTAGGGTACCGGTACCGTATGTGGTTTACATTTACGAGGGTGAAAAGGCAGCCGACCGATGTGCAAAATCATGTTTTTATGCAAGGGTCGATTTCAGTCACCCTATATCAGTATATGGGAGAGGTGCTAGACGATGTAATAACAAAAACGTTCACTAAGTTCCAGATGGATGGGGTGTAGAGCAGCTCGTCACGGCGGCTAACTCCCCGGTTAAAAATCTAAATAAACATAGGATAGGATAGGATTTACATATTTACCCCGGGGGAGAGGAAAGCCGATAAGACGGCTTATCCATATGGCGAACCACGGCCTCTCGTCCGGTTACCATTCCAATATGGGAGAGGTGCTAGACGATGTAATAACAAAAACGTTCACTAAGTTCCAGATGGATGGGGTGTAGAGCAGCTCGTCACGGCGGCTAACTCCCCGGTTAAAAATCTAAATAAACATAGGATAGGATAGGATTTACATATTTACCCCGGGGGAGAGGAAAGCCGATAAGACGGCTTATCCATATGGCGAACCACGGCCTCTCGTCCGGTTACCATTCCAAGTCGGGTATGGGATTAGTTTTACTGTATTATTTGTTTTCGTAAGCATGGACTTGGTGGTGGAGGAAGCCGTAACCGACCAGCGGTTACGTGAACCACCCAACGACGGCGAGGAGTCCAGCAATCCTCTCGCACATAACCATCCCTGCATGGGATTCGAACCTGCGAACCCACGCAGAGTAATTAGAGGTGCGGTGGCGAGCGTATTCCTAACGCTTAGCCCGTTGAGCCACACCGCCGCGCCTTATCGTGCAACAAAGTTACCGTACCGGTACCGGTACAGAAGCTGACGGTCGTACTTTTTGGTATCCACCTATTTAGTTTTATAAATCAATGGAACCATCGTTTAACGACTTGATATATGTGGGATCGTAACAAATTTTTCATTCTTGAAGAACCAATTGGTTGCACCACATTCATCTTTCGAAGGAAACATCTCTGGTTTATCAGCGGGAGGTCAAAACTCGTGACAGGCATGTGAGAAGCTAATGATGCGTGATCGATAAATCATTCTTATTTAATTCTTGTTCTTGTGGCGTTAGGGTTGCGAAGATCTGAAGATCAGTGCCGGACAGCCGGTGATTTGATTTTAAAAGCAATTCTAAGCAAAATGCACGAGCAAGACAGCGCGAGCAAGATACGGTAAACAGCTGGCTACGCACGTTATATAGAAAATAAAGATTGGGACTGCACTTGATGCTTGAGATGGTGCTGAAGTGAGAAATACCTACAATCCAAGTTTCGCACTGCCTTCGTTTATTTTTCAAAAATTATTCGTTAGTAATGTTTACGTGGACTACCGTAGGCTATATTACAATATTAGTGTATGTTGGCTGGTTGACCTAGAGCTGTAGAGTAATGAATGTGGTTTGATTAAAATCTCTACCAAATACTGAAATAGATGAGAATTGGGGTTTTGAGGTAATACGGTAATAATTTATTTTAATATATTGAAATTGTAGTTATCTTTATTGTTCATTACTGCATTATGTTAACGCGAGCTTATTCCATGTGTGTTTAGGTGAGTGAATACGTACGGTTCTCTTCTTCTTGGCAAAATCTTCCAACTTATATTCTGAACTTTTTAAATCTTATGTAAGGTCTGAAGGTGTTGTTTGCTCTCCTGATTTCATAATCAGTTTTTATTCGTTTGCTTTTAATAGTCTTATTCTAATATCGATTGTTCGTAGGTTCTGACCATATAGTGTATTTAGCGGTGGACAGTTTTTGTGCAGAGATTCAACTCTATTAATCTTTATTCGGAAATCATGGATTTTAACAAACTCCCCAAAATAAAAGATGTTGAAAAAGAAGGAATGCTCGGAAAAGTATTTGGGGTATCTGGTCCAGGTAAACCCCTCTAATACATTTTACTGTCTAGAATCAGTACATCTTCATCTCAACGCTTTAGAAAATAGTTTTGGGAAATCTGAACTGGAAATATTTAATACAACTTTAGTTTTGGCGAACTAGATGAGTTTCAATAATAAGTCTTACTCTCATTATGGCATATATATTTTCAATCTGTAACTACATTACTAATATTCTATACTTTATCTTACAGTTGTGATAGCTCAGCACATGTCTGGCTCTGCTATGTATGAACTTGTCAGAGTTGGTCGATCCGAGCTTGTTGGTGAAATTATCAGACTTGATGGCGACAGAGCAACAATTCAAGTATATGAAGATACGTGTAAGTGAAATATTTCAAATTGCATGAACAGGAATAACTTTTTATTTGGGTATTACAAATTTCATTTCATTGGTCGGTACTCCCATTGTATGTGTACCAGGTTAGGGTTAGGCCATAATTTTATTCAGATTTTCCTTATTTTAGTTCTATCACGAGTTCTGGGACTGTCTGCGTTAGCCATGTGAATATCCCCCTGCCCATAGGTTCCAGTCCCTTCACACAACTTGATGTAAAATGGGCAAACAAAATCCAAATTGGTACACATACTTATGTAGCGCCCATAAGTGAACAATTCTCCTGCACATTATCATCAAAAAAATTTATTGAAATATATACATTCATTTTTCAGCTGGGGTAACTGTTGGAGATCCTGTATTACGAACTGGGAAGCCACTGTCTGTTGAACTTGGTCCTGGAATATTAGGTTTGTTCATGAGTATGAGTGACTAGTCAGTTTTTTGTCTCTTTTGAGGTTTGAATGAGTCTATATTTTTGTATTTGTAAATTTGTGGTGCATCAACTTAACAAAACGACAGAACATAGTACTATAATATAAAGCAGGGATGGCGAACCACTGACCCGCTGGTCACAAAGTGACTGACCCGCCAAGGCACGAATAAAAAAAAAAGCTAACATATCAGGGATAAAAATTGATAAAACCGGCCTTAAATTAATCTAACAATAACTATTATAATGTACCATCAATTGGGCAAGGCCGCGATCGCTCATATTCAAATTGGTAATTTTCAGGTCGGTATGGTAATTTTAAAAACCACTAATCTGGACTGCATGTCTGCACCGATGTGAACCGTTATTCAGCTCTGACATAGTTTATGACATAACAATGCCATTGATCTGTTCATTTCTCGCAACGTCTTGCCTCTTTTGGAAGTGCAGCATCTGCAGACTGTTTCAGGGGTTATTTGAGAATTAGATGCTACTTTGAATTTTATTAGTTTTTCGCCTACAATGCCGTTGAAAAAACGAAATCTTTCAGATCTCAAATAAAAATCTAGATATTTAAATTAACAATCGGGCAGTGTAAAAGTGCCTTAATTTGGTTGAAAGCTGATTGAAAAATATAACACTATCAGAGTGTAATTACCTACAAATTCTTTGGAACCGTGAAATAGTTTGCCGCATCATCCTAAACGTTTTTGGTAATTCATATGCGTGTTTTCGTACTCGTAACATAGGTTTAATAGTTGTGACCCACTCCCTTCTGTTCCGCGATAAAAATATAATTTTTGACCCATTCATTGAAAACGGTTCGCCATCCCTGATATAAAGAATTACAGAAATAAAAAGATGACTTGTGATCTCAAAGGAAGGGCAAGTGTTCAAAGAGCTTATAGAAATGTCACACCTTTTTGATTACCTATATTATTCTTATTAACCAAGAATTTTTAAAAAGGCATTAGAAATTAGAGATGTATCGGTATTTGACATAGATATTGGCGTTATTTCACTAGTTTCAGATTGGAATTGGTGAAAAAAGTTGAATTGGTACATCACTATTAGAAATGGGGATGAAACATGAATGCTTGATATTTCTATTGAGGGATGTTCTGTGATTCTTCTTTTTTTATTGTTGTTCAGGAAATATTTATGATGGAATTCAACGACCTTTGCGAGATATTAAGGATTTAACAGATTCAATTTATATCCCAAGAGGTGTCAATGCAACTGCACTTGATCGTAAAGCAAGATGGGAATTTGTTCCTTTGAAAAATATCCAGGTAGATCAGATTTCGTTTTATTGAAATGAGTGTGGAAAATATGAAAAGAAATCTTTGCTTATAATAGACTATTCACTCTGATATGCTCTTAGGCAGATCTATACAATTTCCAGTGCTCCCGTAGTGTGTGAACCAAGATAGCGAACACCGGATTGTAGTATGTGTACCAGGTTAGGGTTGGGCCATAATTTTATTCCAATTTTCCTTATTTTAGTTCTATTACGGCTTTACGGGTTTGGGACTAAACAAGTGACTTCCGTAGTGTTTGTACCTGAAATTATGGCTAAACCCTAACCTGGTATGCATACTACGTTCTGGTGTCTGCCATCTTGGTTCACATACTACATGAGTACCCAATTTTAATTTAAATACTTCAGTCAGTATATATTACGAAAGAAAATTATATCAATATGAATGTAAGTCACTACTATTATCATACTATTTGTATTATCTGGGAAGGAACTTCGATTTTCAAATATTACTGGGAAAGTAACTTATATGAAGGATGATGTATGATATATTTCATCATGATTTGTAAAAGCAAAGGCAGATTCGATAACTTTCAACTGCAAACAGACATTAATAAAACTATTCGCAACTACCGCTTGAGAGAATACTTTTTTGATCCATTCTCCAGTCAAACCATCAGCGAAGTAGCTGCAACATATCTAAAATCCTTACGTGTTCCAAGTAGATGGACACCGCCTACTGGGAGAAATTCTGACTTAGATCACTTCGCTAACACTCTAAAACGGGAAATCCAGAAAACGACATCAAAGAAACGTACATTTTCCAATCTCAAAAAAGACGAAGTCGAGGCCTTGAGGGAACTAGAACAAAGAGCAGCAAGGGATATCATCATAGTACCTGCGGATAAAGGCGGGGGAACTTGCATACTCTCCCGAACTGACTACATCACAGAAGGTATGCGGCATCTATCGGATAACTTGGTATACAAGTGCATTCCAAAAGACATATCTATACAAATTGGCAACAAAGTAACCAAATTATGTCATAATATGAGGGAAGCCGGCATTATTGATGACATACTACTCAAAGGGATAACTCCAAAAAGACCTAAACCAGGTCGTTTACGTTTACAACCAAAAGTGCATAAGAAAAATCACCCCAGTCGGCCAATCATATCAACAAACGGAACTGCAACGGAAAAATTATCAGCTTTCATAGATTACAAATTAACTAACCTCATGTGCAAAGAGGTTATACCATCATATGTCAGAGACAGTATGGATTTTCTGAATATTCTGAAAAAAATTGACAATATTCCGCCAGGATCTTATTTAGTAACCATGGACGTGACTTCCTTGTATACAAATATTCCACATAAAGATGGCATCTTAGCGGTGGAGAAGTATCTCAGTAAATATACCACAGAAAAACGGGAAATTCCATATATTAAAGAAGCAGTTAATATGGTTCTTGATAATAATAATTTTTTATTTGACGGAAAGCATTATCTCCAAATCAATGGGACAGCGATGGGAACTAAGATGGCTCCCAAATATGCAAACATATTTATGGCATACTTAGAGTCTGAGATTCTAGAAACAGCGAAGATTAGGCCACAATACTACTATAGATACATCGATGACTGTTTTCTGATCTGGACACACGGCGAAACCGAGCTTATATCTTTTATAAACCATGCGAATTCAATACACCCTTCTATCAAGTTCACATTCGAATACTCAACGGAAAACATTACATTTTTAGACGTAAAAGTCCATATCATAGACAACAAATTGGAAACGGAAATTTACACTAAAGACACGGACTCTCACCAATATCTTTTACCCTCCTCATGCCACCCCAAACATATTACTGCAAACATTCCAAAGGGACTCTTCATAAGAATAAGAAGATCGTGCTCAAATGTCGAATTTTTTGACAAGCATGCAGGAATTATGAAACGCTATCTCATGCAACGAAATTACGAAGAGACTTCTATTGACAAAACAATAAAATTGGTAAAAGAAATGAACAGAGATTACCTTTTAACACCGAAAAGTACAAAACAAGGTCAGCAACTATTGCCATTTATTACCAACTACCACCCAAACCAACCGCACTTTAGAAAAATATTTTCGGACTACCAATATATTCTTGACAACAATGCACGACTAAAAGAGATTTTCCCTCAACCTCCGAAAATTGCATATAGAAAGTGCCCTACATTACGCGATAGACTGGTTAGAGCTAAACTACAACCAGTAATATCACAGAAAGTACAATCTGGTTTTTATAAATGTAATAGAAAAGCATGCACCACCTGTAAATATTCCGAAGAAACAAAAATAAGTACCGGGAACGTGACGGGAGTCCATATAAACATTAACGAAAGGATAAGTTGTAAATCAAATAATGTTATTTATCTAATAAACTGTAAGAAATGTGGGATGCAGTATATCGGCGAGACCGGAAGGTCGTTAAAATATCGTATAACAGAACATCTGAGAAGTATTACGAAAAGGAAATATGATTTAGTAGTGGGAGAACACTTCAACAAACTGGGACATTCAATAAGTGACTTTTCAGTAACTGGAATAAAAAAACTATTCAGAGACCAGGGCTATCGACAAACAGTAGAAGCATACTACATCAACAAATTCGGAACATTGGAACCAAAAGGACTCAATTCACGGGAGAAATAGACTGTAGACTCATCTAAGAATTATTATTTAATAATAATTTTCATTCCAACGTCATATAATATTTAAATTTAACAATCACTCTTTTTCTTAAGTTTATATTATTACTCGCCCCTTGATTGGCGTTTTATTTTACTATTTTCAAGTGTCCCAAGTTTAATTTTAATTATAATTCGAAACCTTGGAGCTATGTGCTTGCGATAATTTTTTTATTTATTTTCTTTTGTCCTACTCGAAATATGCTAGATGGGTAATTTATTCATTTATTATTATGAATTAATATTATATTTTAACGCTATTTAAGATCAAAATTCAGCAATAACTTTTAACCTTTTTTAATTTTGAAATTGGTCCTCACCAGACTAAGCCTTGATTTATGTTTAAATGTTGGTTTACTTCCTCGTGGTTCTCTAAGTGCCCATAATTTCAATTACATTTAGTTACCCATCATTTTCGTAAATGCAATAATAAAACCCTTTTTTTATTTTATTTTTTTCAATTACATCTGAAATGAGCTCCACTGATATTTGTGGTTCTAATCTTCCCAATCATTACTTCTACGGCTAAATGCAAATTAAATGTTTATGCATTGTTACGTCATATTTGATTTGATATTTCAAATTCATTTAGCAAATTTTCTTTCTTGCCATTGTTGTAAACTGCTTGTCTGAGGAAGTCTGACTCTGGTCGGACGAAACGTTACAGAAATACATTTGTGTTAGTGTGCAGCTGGACTCTTTAATTGAATAGGCTTGTGTGTTTGAGCTTGAAATTTTTATGCTTTAAATTTATTGACTGTGCGGAGGATCAATACAACACATTTTCAAAGTATTGACAACTTGATTGTTGATTCATTTCCTCATTTTGCAGGTCGGCAGTCATATAACAGGAGGTGATGTTTATGCAACTGTAGTAGAAAATTCACTCTTACAACAAAGATTGATGTTGCCTCCAAAATGTCATGGCAAAGTCACTTACATTGCAGAACCAGGGGAATATGATGTCACAGTATGTGGTTTTCAGTTGCATTTATTGATCTGTCGAAATGCATTAATGTGCTTTTAGTAAACCTGAAGATGAATTAAGTTTGTGCGGCTAATGAAATTTATCCTTGAATTAGAGGTGTTTTTGTCATGGTCATGCTTAGATATCTCACTATATGTAAATGTCATAACAATTTATTAAGTATATTATAGTCTATAGTTTTAATGGTAGTAATTAAATAAAAATACAATAAAATGTTTGAACTTGGAAAAAAATCAAATCAATACTTGTCGCTATCTGTATGGTAACATAATATTGATGTATAATATTACAAACCATCACAAATACTCACTGAAAAGCGAAGCTCCATAGTATTCATTGGTGCCATTCACACTTGTTTCGTACTGACAGGATGTCGTTCTTGAAGTTGATTTTGATGGGAAAACATCTCAATACCAAATGATGCAGGTATGGCCTGTACGTCAACCTCGACCAGTGTCTGAAAAACTTCCTGCTAATTATCCATTACTTACTGGACAAAGAGTTTTGGATGCTTTATTTCCGTAAGTCTAAATTAACTGGCAAGCAGCAAACGATGTGGTACAGACTACAGAACATTAATTACATATGTCTAAATACAGGCACACTTCATCAGGATGGTAAATAGAGATGTGAGGTTAACAAATATAAATATAAAAATAGACAAACTATATATATCCGATCTTGTTTTAGATAGATTTCATAAATGCATTCCAATTGGTGGCTTTTTCGAATATTGTTAGATTCTTATTAGTTGTACTTGTTTACTATAGATAAGCCATATCCAAATAGTTTATTATTCTAGAATTTTTGTTGTATTCAATTTTAATTACCAAGTATGCAAGAATTTAGGTTGACTGAAGCTTTAGTAAAAGCAACCAACCAACAAATCTAATGTTTTATTCTAATATTTGTTTTTCTTGTTTCTTTTCAATATAGGTGTGTTCAAGGAGGCACTACTGCAATTCCAGGTGCCTTTGGCTGCGGAAAAACTGTAATTTCACAATCTTTATCCAAATTTTCAAACAGTGATGTTATTATTTATGTTGGTTGCGGTGAGAGAGGAAACGAAATGTCTGAAGTATTGAGAGATTTCCCTGAAGTAATTTCTTCTTGTATTCATTTGTGGAAAGGAAAGACGATCAGATAAATTAATTATATGACCAAACATGGATTATACTATTCTAGCTATTCAGCTATCTTCCCAGACTCATGGACTTTGATTTTGTAAGAAGTCATACCTGACCATCTGTTACAGCGGTAATATTCAAACATATCTTCATCCTCGAAGGATTCGAACCTGCAAATCCAAGTAAAGAAAATAACAGTTTGATGACAAGTTTTATTCCTCGCATAGCATGATGGGCCACTGCTAATCATCGAAACTGTTTGACAGACAAATCTGAGAACATTTGTATTTTTTAATATAATTCAATATAGTGTTTCTGAAGTCTATTTCTATAAAAGAGTATTAATTCCATTCCTGCAAAATATCTTTCATTTCTGCTTATTTTTATATTATTTTTTATTTTTCAGCTCACGGTTGAAGTTGATGGAAAAACTGAGTCTATCATGAAACGAACTACACTTGTTGCTAACACATCAAACATGCCTGTTGCCGCTAGAGAATCATCTATATATACTGGTCAGTATTTAATTTAAGGTACTCCTGTGGTATGTGCACCAAGATGGTAGAGTCATTCGACTAGTCCTCAAACTCGTAATAGAACTAAAATTAGGAAAATTGGAATAAAATTATGGCCTAACCCTAACCGGGTACACATATCACGATCCGGGTCCGCCATCTTGGTCCACATACTACAGGAGTGCCTAATTTAGTGCTGGAAACAGTCAAGTTTGAGACAATTTTTTTATCACAGGTATCACACTGTCTGAATATTTCAGAGATATGGGATATAATGTTGCTATGATGGCCGACTCCACATCTAGGTATGTTTTTTATTTTGTGATATTGTACATTTCTCTTTATTTTCATCCTCCATAATTATGAATATATGAGGAAAAAAATCACCAGTTATTGCGATTGATAGTAGATCTAACTTATTGACTAAAAGTCTATTCTAAATGCATCCTTCGGTTCTTAGCTCATGACTCGTGAGACCTATTCAGCCAAGAAAAGCATTAATATTCCTTGTTGTCGAAAGTGGTCTCGCATCAACTGCTGGATTGACCACGGATCGAACCTGCATGGCTTGTTCAAATTGATAATGATACGAGGTGTGGCTAAAAAGAAACGAGACTGACGTCACAGATTGCGCAACACGATTAACCATTGGTAATCAACACTTTTACAGTGTGGTGTAATATGTGTTCTTTGTTCAACAGCTTTTTTGACACAATATCGCAATTATTTTTGCTCTTTAGGAGCCATAGGTGAATGTGATTAATTGCTTGTTGAAAAAAAAATTGCCGTGCGAGATCTGATTGAGTTTTTTGGCGATAGGGGGTTCAATTGCAGAATGACGATTGAGCAATGAATTAACATTAAATTTTGTGTCAAACTTGGAAAAATGCATGTCAACTGGGCAACATTTAATCGTTGAGCTTTCTGCTCCTCAGTCAACAGCCTTGGCACCATTTTGGCACTCACCTTTCACAAGCCAAAAGTGTCAACCAAACTGGTGCGAACCGTTTTTTTTTTGTCTTTTCCAACTTCGCAATGACGCGAATTGTTGAGCGACGGTCGCTGCGAATCAACTGCCTTTCACAACTGAACTCACAACTGATACCTTTTCGATGTTGGTATCAGTTGTGGAAGTGCAAGGCCTTCCTGACTTCGAATCATCCTCCACATCCTCCCTGCATCCCACAAATCGCTTGTGCCATTCAAAAACTCTTGTTCTGGACATGGAAGAATCTCCATAAACATCACACAATTTCTTCAAAGTCGCAGTCGCCGTTTTTCCAAGTTTGACACAAAATTTAATGTTAATTCATTGCTCAATCGTCATTCTGCAATTGAACCCCCTATCGCCAAAAAACTCAATCAGATCTCGCACGGCAATTTTTTTTTCAACAAGCAATTAATCACATTCACCTATGGCTCCTAAAGAGCAAAAATAATTGCGATATTGTGTCAAAAAAGCTGTTGAACAAAGAACACATATTACACCACACTGTAAAAGTGTTGATTACCAATGGTTAATCGTGTTGCGCAATCTGTGACGTCAGTCTCGTTTCTTTTTAGCCACACCTCGTAACTACTATATTTACCTATTAATCAGCTAACAATTGAATAGGATATCAGCTGTGGAAAATTTTTTGAATCCATAAGAGTAATACTGTGATTGGGTAATTTTCATTATTCAAAAAACCATATATCAAAGGTATTCACTGGTAACAACATTGATTAATTTTCATTTTATTTGGTGCATAAAAGGTGGGCCGAAGCACTCAGAGAAATATCTGGTAGACTGGCAGAAATGCCTGCAGATTCTGGCTATCCTGCTTATCTCGGTGCTAGACTTGCTTCCTTTTATGAAAGAGCTGGTCGAGTTAAATGCATTGGAAATCCTGGTCGAGAAGGAAGTGTATCTATTGTGGGAGCGTAAGTACCTCATACTAGTTTTCAAAGTTGATCAAAATAGCAGCTCATTTATTACAAATGACATGATTCAAATGGTCTAGATGGCGAATAGCAGACAGCAGTTTGGTGTATGTTTAAAACATCTTATTGGCTTTTTTTCTATATATATATGAGATATGATCATATCTATAAGCTGCATTTCAATCTACTTTAGGAAGCATCTTTAGTTGCTAGTTTCGTTGCTTTAGTTTTCAATATTCGAAAAAAAGGCAAAATGTCTTTACAGCAGCTGTTTTTATGATTTACTGTATATGAGTTTTCAATTTCCTTTTTTGCAGTGTTTCTCCTCCTGGTGGCGATTTCTCAGATCCCGTAACATCCGCCACACTTGGTATTGTTCAAGTATTTTGGGGTCTTGATAAAAAGCTGGCACAAAGAAAACATTTTCCGTCAGTGAATTGGCTGATTAGTTACTCCAAATATATCAGGTAATCTCATGAATGTTAATTTGTTTGTTGTTTTATTTGTTCATTTTGCCTAGTTTCATGCTTTTTGAAGGACCTACAGTTTATATCCACTTAGTTAGAAACATGCCTATGCCTGCACCACTAGTCACCCTCCGTGGCTTTGCAGGTTTAAATCCTACAGGGGATAATTATGTACGTGTTGATTTGCTGGATACCTGCTGCCTCACGGTTGTTCACCTAACTGTGGGTCAGTTATTAAGATCAGAGATCATCATTTCTTATGATTGATCTTTCATCTCCCTTAATGTGGATATGAATTTATTATCCTAAATTATGAACTTATGTTGATGATAAATTGATTTAAGGTACTCAAAGTGCCAAATTTGTGTAGAAAACATGTTCTAGTTTGTAGTTTAGCCAAGCACAGGTAATGGTTCATTTATTATACCAGACAAATTTTGCTACAATATCATATCATTAGTTGTTGGGGCATATTTGCATGGATTAAACTGAATCATCATAATGCTAAAGCAGGAAATTGCGGAATTGTAGTTTATATTTATCTGTTTTTACATTGTCTTTATATGTCTGCATAAGTAGAAGAGAAGGATTAATACCTCATTAGCGAACTATCAATTGATGTTTATTTTTAGAAATTGATTTCTTACTTACAGAGCTTTAGAAGAATTTTATGAAAAAAATTTTCCGGATTTTGTGCAACTTCGAATGAAGGCTAAAAAAATTTTACAAGAGGAAGAAGACTTATCTGAAATCGTACAACTTGTAGGAAAGGTAAGTTATAGGTAGTCATATGGAAACTTTTAATATACCATGTTTTCACTTTGGTCAAGGATTTACACAAGCAGCAAATTATGTGTAAGTAGCTCCTATTTGGAAGAACTAGAATCATCTGGTTTGGCGTTGCATCCAAGGTGAAATACTGGGCATGTAGTTTTCAACTGAGATCTTCTATGATGCATAAGAATTTTGTGTTTTTCATTTGTAAATATTTGTTGAAGTGTAAAGGTTTGTGCTTCACGACACAAGAAAGCGATATGCATGAAACAAGTTTCTTGAAACAATGTAGAAATAAAATAAGTTTTGAATGATTTAAGTTAGCATACCGTATACTCTGCTATAAATTTTTAATAAAACTCGTTATAGCGCTTCATTCCATATATAAATATCGTTTTTGTTTATATTTCGTTGAATATGTCCTTACGTTCTACAGAGTTCATTAGCAGAGACTGATAAGATCACTCTTGAAGTTGCCAAACTGTTGAAAGATGATTTTTTGCAACAAAATGGATTTTCTGCTTATGACAGGTGGGTGTCAGTCATCTAAATTCAATCGTGTAGGGCAAAATTTTTCCAAACTTATTGGGCCGTGGACCCCTATTTGAGAATCTTAGTTTTGATAGACCCCCATACTAAGCCGTATCAATGTCTGTGCCTAACCAACGAGGAAGGATGATGTTTCATTTACAAAACAACAACATAAACGACATTAATGTGATTGATGAGGTTGCTTTTTACTGCACTATTTATCAATTCTGGCTGACATTCTTTTCATGTCGTTGCGGAACCCCTGTGCAGTCATCACGGACCCACAGAGGTCCGCGGACCCCAGTTGGAAAACCCTGGTGTCGGGAATGAGGTCATATGCGAAATATTTTATCTCCTCGAGTCCTTGTTATCTCTGGGTGCTTCACGTAATCTAAGTTCTTTTATCACATCTATTGCCTGATAGCAGACTTGGACTGATTACCAGATGAGAAGCCGTAGTCTGCTCCATTGTTTTTTCCCTTTGGGATGAATTAGTCCTAATTCTACAACACTGTGTTGTCTGTGTATCACAACCACTTACAATCAATTCCTGGTGTAGACAACTATGTACCAGAAGTGTTTGTGAGATCAATATTTTAATACCATTCCATGAAGAAAACATTTTTTTCCTTCATTTATTATTAAGTGATTTGTCAAAGATGCCCTAAAAAAGATGACAATTGTCCACAAACAATTGCATAAACAGTCTAATATCATTACCAATTTGCTCATAACAGCCCATCTTATATTTATCATCGAGCACTAAAAAATCATTGAAAAATACTTGAAGTTTGGTCTTATTACATTCTCGATTATAATCAAATTCGGCAAAAAGTGAAGGATTTTCTCTGACAGCTGGATGTTGCTATTTTGTCTGCACTAGCTGAATCAAGTTTTAAACAGAAACATGAGATTTGTTGTTTATTTACAATTGCCAAAGTGGAAGTATTTACCAAGTTTTTCTGATGACATTCTTTTCATCATTGATTATTATTTATTGTTTTACATTTCCCTGTAGTCCCAATGAGATACAATAAATTGTCTAAACATACCTTATTTGTCACTGAAATAAAAAGATCTGTATCAACTCGAGTATGTGACATTTATCGAGTGATACAAACCTCTGTAGAAATATCAAATTTGAAATTGAATTCAGTGTAGTATTTTATTCATCTAAAAAACAGAAAGTGACAGTACTTTAATTACACGTCCTATATTTTTTCAGATATTGTCCATTCTACAAAACTGTTGGTATTATGCGCAATATTATCGCATTTTACGAAATGGCTCGTCACAGTGTTGAATCGACGGCACAGTCAGACAACAAGATCACTTGGACTGTAATTCGCGAGAGCCTAGGTGATGTTATGTATCGACTATCGTCAATGAAATTCAAAGATCCGGTCAAGGATGGTGAAGGGAACATAAAAAAGGATTATGAGCAATTACACGATGATATGCAGACTGCTTTCAGGAACTTAGAAGATTGATCTTTGTATAATATTTCCTACATTCTAAATAATCAGTTGTCCATCGTAAAGTAACTATAGTGCTAAAAAAACCTGGGACGTTTTTTTGTTAAAATGTTGCACTCCACAGATTTTTTGTGCATTTCTCTTCATGCAAATTTTTTTCTTTTACTTTTCACTGCATTCAAAAGCAGGGTTCAATTAATTGTTTCCGGACTGAGTGAAGTTAGGTCTACCTCCTTCATCTGTGAAAATAATCATATTTGATATTAACACACTTTATTCATAACGAAGGAAATTTGGTTGAGGGAATTTAAATATGTGTCATCATTCGAAATTTGTTCAATATGGGATTTCTGGGTCTCTTAAATATTAGCATTAGCCTTCTAAATTATATTCTCACTTCGAATTTTTTCAAGTTGTGTTCAAAAATTCTTCAATATTGAATATGAATTATGTGAATTAGAGATGTCGTTACATCATGTCACCAGAATTAAACAAATCAGCTGATGCTGTTATATGGGTATTTCTCATTATGCGAGAGGCCATTTATGACAAGATTGAGAAATTACAATTTTGAGAAATTACAATGTTGGTGATAACATTGTCAAAGTTCAAATCTGCTATCATTTTTCTTATTGAAGTTCATATAATAGTAAAATTCTTCAAAGCCATATTCGGAACAAGTTCACCAGGTAGGGTATTTTGTTCACAAATATAATTATCGATAATAGTTCAAGGCAATGCTCTGTTAATATTATCATGAACCACATTTGTCTATACGTGCATACATACTTAATTGCAAGAATATTATTTAAATTACAGTACGAGCAGTGGTAGATTTTAATAAAGACTGTTAGATTTCGTTAAAATCACTTGTGTTCTATATTTTGGAATCCAATTGGAAAAAGAATTTGTCAAGTCTGTTTTATTGGTCACTAAGCTTTTTCATTAATATTCTTTGGTCTGTTTCTTGGGATTTTTCGTTAATGAACTCTTCTTAATGAAACAACTTTGAATTGTTTTTTATTTGATGGTTTGTATCTTTAGTCCAAAATTATAAAATACCTGATATATCTGAATCGTTTGATGTTAATTTTTTTTTGTACTGTGCAATATTTATTATAAGTAATGTACAAGTTCATTTATTCCAATATATCGACTGTGTTTCTAAACATTTATTGTATTGGATTTAAAATTGAATTATACTATTCACTTGGTCATATTAAGTTGGCCTTCCATTTATCAAAATAGGAACACTTGGTAATAAAGTTTTAGTAAGTGAAGGCTTTTTTCATCTTGCTGTCTGCTTGGCCGCATTTCGTTTTGTATTTCCTTCGAAAAACTATTATATAAGCAATGATTTTTTTTTGTAGGTCGATTTTCATTCCCGCATATTTTTTATGTAAAATATCCGAGTATTTTGCATAGTTCTGTTACTCAATATTGTCATCATTGGTTACATTATGTCTCATCGTCCTGATTTTTCTTTATATCTTAGTCGTGTTGATAAAATATATTACTGTATTGCAGAATCGAGAGAAGTTTGTTGGGATAAATATTCGAAGTTCCACCAGTTTCGATATTTTTTGAATAGTGTGCAAGTGATAACAAGGCTACCAGAGAATGCGCATGTTTAGTAACTGGTTAGTAATAACGTGATATCGTTTAATTTTACAGCCGCTATTCACGATGCTACAAGTTTTGTTCAATCCTTGGGTCGTATGTTCCATCGTATGATTTATCAACCATTGTTTAACTTACCCACTGAAGCCCCAAAACTGTTTTCAACTCAACGTTCTTATGAGCAGCCTTAAAAATTGATGGGCAATTCACTTCAAAATTGTGTGCGAATGAAATCCAATAAATCTCAATGAAATGTCAGTGAAGTGTGTAAACTGTAATGTAAATATCTGGCAAGTCTTACTTAAGCATACATCACAGTTTAACAAAGCTGAAATAAGATCCAAGTTAGACATACAACCAAAACGACAAGAGTTAAGTTACGGTACCCCATCACGCACTCGTTCAGCCTACAGCGGGTTAACCAGCTATTGCCGTTCTGGCAATGTTATACGGTGAGTCAATGCGCTCTAAAGGTCCACGAACTCCTAAATTACATAAGATAAATCCATGTCTAAATAAATCAGCACCAGGACCCAATCCATGAGAGTCTGGCAGTTGATAGCAGAAATCGGGAAATATTACCTGCAGTAATCGCTACTTTGCAGTTTAATTTTAAAATATTATATCACGGTATATTGTTATTATTTTTTGATATTGTTGAAATTAGTCATAAAACACTATTATCGGGAAATATTAGCTACATTGAACATCGCAATGCTCTAGTTTAGTTTTAAAATTGAAATACCCCAATCACGAGAACCAATTGCGCAATAATACAAAATGCCACAAACCGTCGATAAAGAGCAATAAATAAAATGAAGGCTCAGCCATCATTTACAATATATGTTTTCCTTAGTTAAAAGAACACTGGAATCGAACGTAGTCATGTCTGATTTTACAACGCTTACTCGATAAAACTGGGTACAAACAAATATCACTTTGTTGAATTGCTTTCGCGAATGATCGATTTCCAAAAACCACCTATTCTCAATTAAATTTCTAAACAACAACTGTTCGTAAATTTACAAACTTCGATGAAGATTCAACAAAAACACAACTATTATGCTTGACAAATTTATTAAATTCCGATTCCAGACACATTCCTTGAAAAAGAGTGCAAGATATATATCTCATTTTCTTTCATCTTGACGTGGTACCGACATTCCGATGACTAGAACGGCGGCCCCGGCCAGCCGTCTCTGCCATCAAATATTGGCGGGGGATTGCCAGTGTACACCGGGCGCGGACGTGGATAAAAGGTGGTTATAATAGGTACTTTGGTCTTGGATCCTTGGCAATGGCATCCATACGGAATCTATAAAATAATAAGTAATTTAGCGCTGGATTTCCACATTTAAATAATTATAATTAGCGTAAAATATCAATGGCAAACGGCATTATTATAGCCGTATAGTATTTGGTAATTTTACAATGTAAAATTGAATCTAAATACTGCAGATATTTACTTAGGGACACAAGAAATTTGAACACCAGTATATTAGATCAGATGTAATCATAAAATGGTTCAATCAACTCACCCTAATGTGAACGTATCTCAGATAGTATCTTCTTTGTCCACAAGCATCCTGATAAAACCATCGTCTTCTTTTTACCCATCTCCAATACGTCCTACAGTAACAATTATACCGATATCCACCATAAACGCCATTCTTGCATCGTGAGCCTTGTGTCCTGCAATATTCAAATATATTAACTTACGGATTCCACTCATATATGGAACAGGTTGTTTGTCATTTTTCGGCGGCTCGCAATAGATTGATAATGTTGCAATTTGCAACGCACAAAGTGGTAATAAAAAATCATACGTTGGACATCTATTTTGACAAAACAAAATACAAATAAATAATAATAATGATAAGATGTACTAACTGGCACGGATATCCCCAGAAATAAAGTGGTCTATAAAGGTTAAAATAAAATCCCCTATAGTAAGCACACGAGGCCTTGAACAGACATGATTGCCAACGACACTTTGGGTTTGGTACAGGACAGAACGATTGCCATTTCACGTATCTGTAAAAAAAAACAATATTCGAGTTATAATTCAATTATTTTGTTACTGGAATACAATACGGGCTAAAAACATTATACAGATGTATATATAAATACTTTCTGAAAGAAAAAATGTGTCATAAATATATCTATGCAGTTTATAAAATTAATTTGTAGAGATAAGTGAGTGTGAGACAAATGCGAATGGTATTTCTGCTTATTGAATCGATTTCGAATAATGCATAATGCGATATTTTACTGTCTGCGATTAGCTCTGTCAATAGTTACATTAATGGTGACAACACAGAACAAATTAATTTTGAAAGCTCACAGCATCGGCGGCAATAAGCATGATATCATTAATATTATGATAATATTACCTGTCATTCGGACAAATAGGGGGTCTTCTGCCTCGAAAACTTTTTGCGCCTGACGCACCTGCCACTGATAAGCCCTTGGGAGCCGACACACTCTTAGCAGATAAAGACTTTTGACCAGTGGAATCAGTATCTCCCTCTTCTCCTACGTCTGTGGCAGGATTATCTTCTCCCTCTTCTTCACTTTCAGGCGGACTATCCGGCCCAGGATCCGACGCCCTTGTTACAACCAACAGACCGAATATAATTGCCAACCATAGGATCTTCATTCTCAACTAGTATGTTCGTCATTCGCCAACAAGACGGCGATTTGATTTCGGACTTCTGTACGACGCCTTTTATGCGAATGACCGTCACATATTTTCTCTCGATTTTTTTTTCAGCTTCTTTCTTTTTTATGCGCAAATATTTGACTTGATTCATACAAACTTAAATAGAGCAAGCTATTGGTGTTTTATTTAACATTAAATCACACAATTTCTGCATATATTTTGCTTACAATATTTCAATTTTTGTAACTTCAAAATTGATATATTTCCAAATATTATTATACACTGTGTATCGTGTCATTTGTGATCAATATGACAACATAAATAAGCAACATAATATATTTAAGGCCTGTAACATGCCCCGGCGTTGTAAAATGTAAGGAGGTATTAAGTAGAGGCGGATGGGACAATCTTTCGCTATGTATTTCAATATACAAGTTTTGCTTGTATAAATATCATAGACTGCTTTTTATGATAAATATGTAATATTCATTTTGTGAGAATATTTGAAATTTGTTCAATTACTGATAATATAAAACATGTGATAAATGAATTTTTTTTATGTTTTTCAAGATCGTGATTCAATTAATTCTATGAACCATATACGTATATATTCATATTCTATCCTGCGGAATCAGTGGCCGAACTACGTAAAATAACTTCCATGGCAAAGTTTAAAAATGCGCCTCCATAAGAGCAAGAACAAAAACATAATAATAAAACGATCTATATAGACACTATGTGTCCAAAAATACCAGTTTCAAATATTTCCCATTTTGGAATCATTTTATTGAAACACTTGAAAACTTTTGATTTTTTGCGCCTTTGTTCAAACGTTGCCATGTCCGAGCCGTGGTTGCTGTGCGGAATTAAAAAGTTAATCCTGCCCTGCAGTCCGTTCATCTTGTTTTTCTTATAACATATTAAATATTATCACATTCTAGCGAACAGGTTTCACAAAACCAAAAGAAATTCACGTAACAATAAGGATTTTTCGATATTCTATTAAAAGATTGATCGTTTTTTTGCATTCTTAGCATCATATTTTTGGGTTGTACGAACGAAACATACGGAAAAATTACTAATAAAATAACAAAAAGGCATGATATCGAGATTGCATGTGAATGCGTGTCGGGACAGTATTTCCTTATCCGTCAGTCTCATAACCAAATTGCGAAGTCACTTTTTGACGATTTTTAACTTTTCATTCAATAGTCAGTTATGTAATGCTGCGCACCAGTCTCTCAACTAAGATTTATCGAAACGCTCAAAATGGAGATACGTGACATGCGCATTGTTCCGTGAAAATGAATTATTAGTGTTACTGTTTACAATAAGTCTACTGTGACGTCACAAAAGCGAGAGAAAAACTCCGAAACTGAACGCTTATAAATTTGAATTTACGCTACATGGTAGAAAAGAGGACACTTGTGATATCCAACTTTTTTAGGACCAATTTATATTGGATGGTCGTTATATAAGGATGCATTGGTATTTTATTCTTTTTATATAATATTTATGGAAAATAATTATTTTCGCTGTATATGCAGGGTGCGTTGTATTAGAAAAATATGTATTTAAAAACATAAAAAATAGAATTATTGTATGAGATAATCTGTTTTGGGATTCGAAATTGTAGATACCGTAAATTACATACGTTTTTACATGACTGATGGGTGTAATCTCGTTGCAAATTTGCTTATGTTCTCAAGTCATCAACACATTTCTGCAAAAGTCACAGCGCGCCATTATAGCGTCACATGTCTTTGTCATACAAATAAATTTAAATTCTAAAGCGCTAAAAATCCTTATCTCAAAACTTAATAGTCTTCAATATGGCGCAATAATAAGGGGATGTAAACAGTAACTAGGTAAAGTTATAAAGACAGAGCAAACACAAAATGTCCGAGATTGTATAACTATAAATAGACTATTTGAGAGGTCTGCAAGGTCAAATTTAACTCATAGTTCATCACTTATCTTATGGATATGCTTAACATTATTGACATTGTCAGCCACGGCTCTGCTCATTCTTAGAAACGCGAAGAAAGTGAACATTCCTATATAAAAATATTTCCATATTTACCAGTGTTATCAAATTTATCATTTTTTGTCAGAGGTTATCTCGTCAAAATGAACCAGCTTTATTTACTTTTATTTACTTTTATTTGTCAAGTTCACAGTTTCGGTTCTATAAAATCCAAAATTTGGGTATATTTATTTTTTACGAAAACATATGTTGATGGGTCGCAGACAAAAACTGATGTCTATATCGAAAAATTCAAACCGCCCGATGAAGAAAGAGAAATCAGTAATGGTATGCCAACGAGTTTTAAATGTATAAGTTTTAAAAAGATATTTTTAGTGATGGAATTCAAAATTTTGAAAAAGGGGTTCTCTATTGCATCGGAATCATCAAAACAGGTTCCTCCATTTCAGGAAAGAAACCAATTTAAAAGGTAATTAAATCATATAGTTTACACATTTTAAACGAATGAATGATTTTGCTTGTGCTGGATCCATCCACTGAATGATGCAGTCAATTCGAACTTTCAATAACAGCTTTATTCATAAAAATTTAATGTACATAGTTACACTTGTAATAGACAAAGTATTTGTCATGATAGTGTGAATATTGTGTTCGGCAACAACAAAAGCAGCTTGACCAGATTTTGTCTTTTAATAAAAGAGCAAATAAAAACGCTTTCCACGCAGTCCATGTGTAATGATATTTTGCACTTATGAGTCTTACGCAAGTTTGTTACCAGTCAATGGTGGCCAAACAATAACCATGCGGCTGCAAGCGTCCGCGTGTCGAAAACAATAGCAACATGAACACATCTTGCTGGTTTCGTCGAATGCGCTGTAATTCTAAAGAATTTCACTAATATCAAATACATGGCTGTGCATCGTGGCTGGATTCATCATCAAACAAAATAGGCACGTGCTTAGGGCACCAAGGAAAGGGGGCCACCATAGGAAATTTCATAACCAAATTTTCAATGATGCTTCAGTGTTTAATGGAACAATTCGAGTTGATCAACCGACTCATACCTGAATATTGGCCAGGTTGAATTGGATTTTTGCTTATTTTTAGTTCTCAAATATAAATATATATCTTTTTCTAACACTTTGTAAATGTTTGTAGGTATGAAAACTATCCCCCAAAAATAAAGCCAGTTTCATTATTACTGTTTTTCGTACACAGGGAATCAAAGTGCTAAGTGCTCCTCTAAGACACATGGTTCGGCCCTGCTGTATATGCATGCAAAACGTTTATATATGCATATTGGGTTTGCTGCATATTGATATTTGATTGGCTGTATGTACATAGCACGTTACCATATATATAATTATAAATAGTCTCCAGAGTGATGTGTTGGTTAAAAAATCATATCTCGTCTGAACAGGCTATTTCCCATCTCTTAATAAAATACTTCTTACGAAAATAAATATGCTCTTCTAATCTTAATTAAAAGGTCGAAGGTACATACATGTCTTTTAATGACGATGTCATTTGTAATAATTCGAAGATTCCTTCTCAAATAACTACGTTCCTTATAAAAATAGCTATGCACTATGCACTTTTAAAAGTGCAAGTAATTCTCTGTCTAAAATAGTAATTTTTTCAAACGTTTTTCTCGAAACGTTGGTCCTATTCTGTCCCATTTTTCTTTATTTCTTGATTGTGGGATTCATGCACGCTTCTGAAAGTCAGGGCTATTTTTAATAGATTAGCCTGTGATAGGGCGAGCAACCTTTTTCGGTTCGCGTGTTAAAATCTGCTAAAGACATTTTTCCAATATTGACTAACTCAACTCGGAGATCAATAAATTTTTGCTCCCAAATTGAGCTACTCTAAAATTCAATCAACTGCATTCCAAATTCTAATCCAGATAAAATAAACACCAAGTTTCATCAGATAATACCGATATTAATTTTTTGTCTGACGGAATCTTGTTTCAGAACTCTCGCTCGCGTGCTGGAGAGCCCTGCTTGCCTGCTAAGTTTGGACGTGTGGCAGCGATTACCCACTTCTGGCCTGTGGTGATTACTGTCCGTTTTGAGGAATACCCTTAACTTATGGCGTTTTCTCCCTTTGCTACTTTCATATACCCAACACATCGAAGTGAGAGCCCGCGGTCAGCGTCTCTTTTCAATTGTATAGACAGTGGTTCCCAACCGCCGGTCCGCGGACCGGTGCCGGTCCGGGAAGCTTTTCTGCCGGTCCGCGAGAAATTTCGTTGTTTTGTTGTTTTTATGCCATCTCAATCGCTTTACCGTAGACAATGTTGGTTGGCTCATTACGCAATTCTCTTCCTCCGAAATATTGCGACGTCTTTCGCGACATGTTGGCGCCGTCTTACGCGACATCTTGGCGCCGATCATTTACACTTCTCGCTTTTTCGGCTCCGATTCATCGCGAATGCGCCCCATCAAATCTCGCACAATTAAGAAGCCTAAAAATCGGCACGCGTGCTTTTTCTGTTCTGCGTGCTTTTCCTGATTAATATGACCATCCATATGAAACGTAATGCATATCTCCTTGTTTAAACCTGAAAACAGTCAAGAACAGTATAATATTCCAGTAAGATATGAACATCTTGCGACCCCACAGGTGGTCACGAGACGCGCAAAAAAGCATGGGTCGCAGAGGTCTTTTTCAGACACAGTAGTTTTGAGCCTGTTGCCAAGTTATCGACAATTTTGTCATTGTAATGCAAATTCATTTTGTTTGAGGCGTCGATCAACTGCGGAGGGATTAATATGATGAACCCAATGAAAAAGAAAAGGCTTGATTAAAATGGCGATTCTACTTTAAATTCCAGATTAAAAAAGAATTACTTATCACAATTTTAGATGATAACGAATACCCATCGCCAAGTAATCGAGCAATCAAACTGTTGTTCGTCTTTTCAGCCAGTTAATGCGTTATGCGAAAAAAACATTTTCATCACTAGATTCAATAAAAATGAAGCAAAGAAATCGGCTGCACGCGGCTGTAGAGCTACGTGTTGCAAAAGCTTCTTTGA